GAAGTGTAAATGAGTAAGCAACATGGAATAAGTTTTCCCTTCAATCACATGAACAGAAATTCTGTGCATTTTTATCGGAAACCCAGGCAAAGTAACCGGAGCATTTGCTAAATTCCAAGTAAAGGTGTTGATGCCTCTTCTCTTTCTGGTGGTGGCCATGGCACCTTCCTAAGGACAGTCCCAAATCAAAATGGGCTTGGTGGCCTCTCCTGGCTTTGCTCATGCCTTTTCCTCTCTGAGTTGCTATCAAACTGCTATTGCTCCTTTTTATACTAAGGTTCTCAAAATATGTGCACTCAAAAGCAATCCTGGCTTCCACACAGATGGTACCATTTGGGCTTTGATTAGTGAGTGGTGGGTCTTGGTGCTGCTGAAATGGACCAGAAAACAAGGTTAAAAATTATTTGGCTTGGCCTGGCAAGTGGCTTAGTTGGTTGAGCATCATCCTGTACACCGAAAGGTGGCAGGTTCAATTCCAGGTCAGGATACATACCCAGGTTAAGGTTCAATCCGTGGTTGGGATGCATGCAGGAGGCAACCAATCAATGTTTCTCTCTCTCTCTCTCTCTTCCTCTCTCTGGAATCCATTTTTTAAAAATTATTTGTGTCAATTTTCCTTCTTAATAAGGAAACAAAGGTATTTGTGTCCCAGATGTGGACTTCTCTTTTTTCTTTTTATGTCAGTTCTTCCTTTTATGTTGCTTATCACAGTATTTCAAGTAAGCTTGGGCCAAACAATGTGTTAGAATCTCCAGCGGGGGGAACCTCCCTGGTCCTTGACCTACTATGCTCCTCAGCAGGCAGCCCTGCCCAGGCCGGCCAGGTCTACTAACTCTGTTCAGCGCAGGGCTGTTCCATCAACAACATTCTGCCGCTACTGCCCTCTACCTCACCCGGGGCCTCTAATTTCTGTCCACCATTGCCAGGCGGAGGCAACTTGTTTTCTTGTTAGCATGAGTTATTTTATCTGAACGAGGCCTGCCATGACAGAACAGGTCAGTTTTGATGACATGTCCTCAATGAGGCTGCAGAAAGTCAGGGAGCAGCATGAGGGCAAGGAGAGAGGTGCTGCAGAGCGGAGACGGCACTGTATCTAATGCTGCTATTTCTGAACCTATGCTCAGGTGTCTAAGTGTTTGTGTGTTTTCTCTCAGTTCTGAGGGGCTTTGTAGACCGTAAAAGCAGTCCACAAGCTGAATCTCCCAATGGCCATGCAGAGACATCAAGCAACTCTGGTCCAGCCACTGAGAAAAATCGGTGAGTCTTATCTGTAAGATTTATCAGTCTCAAATTCAGTGGCTTGTGGTGAGTTGGAGAGAGTGGAACCAAAAGTATTTCCTATCAGATTCTCCCATGGTAGAGGTCATTACCTTGTGAGCAAAGTCTTTATTCTAGACCAGTGGTTCTCAACCTTCCTAATGCCGCGACCTTTTAATACAGTTCCTCATGTTGTGGTGACCCCCAACCATAAAATTATTTTCATTGCTACTTCATAACTGTAATTTTGCTACTGTTATGAATCGTAATATAGATATCTGATATGCAGGATGTATTTTCATTGTTACAAATTGAACATAATTAAAGCATAGTGATTAATCACAAGAACAATATGTAATTATATATGTGTTTTCCGATGGTCTTAGGCGACCCCTGTGAAAGGGTCGTTCAACCCCCAAAGGGGTTGCGACCCACAGGTTGAGAAACGCTGTTCTATAGGGTAATCTGAAGACAACGCTGCCATTTAGGTTCTCTTCATGGTAAAACCTGTACTTGGCCTCATTAGGTTAAAGCAGTGGTTCTCACATGGGGACAATTTTGCCCCTCTTTTGTCCCCTGGATTTTGGCCATGTCCAAAGACATTTTTGGTTGCACAACTTTAGGGGGAGGAGTTGTGCTAATGGAATCAGTAAGTAGATGTTACACATCCTACAATACAGCGGACAGCCCCCTACAACAAAGAATCGGCTAGGCGAAAATAACAATAGTCCTGTTTTTTAAAAAAACCTTGGGTTTAAGCTAAAGCAAAAAGGAAGTATCATTTCTTGTTTACCCATGGGTTTTAGTTAAATATAATTCAAGACGAGTACATCAGAGCTTGCCCAGGGCCATAGTGCACTATTTTCAAAGTACACCTAGCTGCTCAGTCTGCAGAGGACAGTACACTGGCTGAATGTAGTCACTTTAAGTAAGGCCAGGCCAGGCTGACACCAAGCACTGGAGACTCATGGAACTCACAGGCGTCCTGTTCTTCAGGGAAGCCTTCAGAGCCTACCTTCTCTCAGAACAGGTTTCCAGGCCCCATCACACACGTCACCAGGAGGAGGAGGCAACTGCAGGAGGGAGTGAACCATGCAAAGGGAAGGTCCACCTAGAATAAAGCTTGCCTCTCTTACTTACCCCCAAATTGACTATAGGAACACTCATTAAAGGTTTGCTCCATTTTTAAATTTAAAGCATTTTTTGACCCAGTGACCCCATTTCTGAAAATATATCCTAAGAATCCTGAAACAACAATCAGAAAGAATATATGCACCCCTATGTTTGTAGCAGTGCTATTTACAATACTATTTACAATAGCTAATATTTGGAAACAGCCTAAGTGCCTATCAGTAGATGAGTGGATAAAAAAGTTGTGGTACATTTACACCATGGAATTCTATGCAGCAGTTAAAAAGAAGGATCTCTTGCCCTTTGAGACAGCATGGAGGGACCTGGAGAGTATTATGCTAAGTGAAATAAGCCAGTCAGAGAAAGACAAGTATCACATGATCTCACTTATATGTAGAATCTAATTGAACAAAATAAACTGACAAACAAAATGGATCCAGAGACATGGAAGCATGGGACAGACTGTGGAATCTCAGAGGGAAGGCGGGGGGGTGGGCAGGTGAGAAGAGATCAACCAAAGAACTTGTATGCATATATGCATAACCCATGTACACAGACAATAGTGCAATGATGGCCTGGGGAGGTGGGGGGTTTGGGGTGGAAAGGGTCAATGGGAGAGGGGGGAAGGGGAAGATCTGTAATACTCTCAAATATAAAGATACATTTAAAAAAAACTTTACTCCAGATTTGGAGAATGAAGCAGGCCATTAGAAAGTTTTTTGCATCTTTTCACTTGAAAAAAGAAGTGGTCTTCATTTGTAATTTTTAAAAATAATTTTTAATTTTTTGAAATGTCTTATTAATATTTTTGAGATCTGACAAATTTAATTCTCAATACTTCTCTAGTGGTCTCAAATTACTGTTGGACTACTGTTAAAGTAGACTACTTTCCTAAATAGTAAGAATAGCTCATTTTATAAGGTACTTGAGGGACTAACATTTCATATTAGGTTAACAAAATTTAGAATTTCTGTTGCAGCAGAAAGACGACTGAACTTGGGTTTTGGTCCTAGTGCTAACATTTTCCAGCTGTTTGTTTGTCAGTGAACCAGTCTGGTAAATGGATCCAGCCCCAGCATGACTCCCTTCAACTTCAGCTGATGACTAACTTTATTATTATTATTTTAAAATATATTTTATTGATTTCAGAGAGGAAGGGAGAAGGAGAGACAGAAACATCAATGATGAGAGAGAATCATCGATAGGCTGCCTCCTGCACGTCCCACACTGGGGATTGGGCCTGCAACCTAGGCATGTGCACTGACCGGAAATCAAATTGTGACCTCCTGGTTCAACTACTGAGCCACACCAGCTGGGCAGATGACTAACTTTACTCAGAACATCAGGACAGTTCTGTGTTCAACTTCCACTTCCCTTCCCTTCACCTTAGAATCTCTCCTTATATTCAGCTGTCTTTTCTTCCTTTACTCCCATCTCAAAAGCACACAGGTCCTCTTCCCCACACGGGGCAACCCCTCTGTTGTGGTCCTGCTCTCTGGGCCCTGCCACCAGCAGTTAGCCCACCCCTTGCTTTCACATCTGTCTGTCTGCTGCTTCTTTCCCTTTTGCTTATACCTCTCCCAGTCTAACAAAGCTTGCTCTTGGCCCTGTCCCTCCCCCTTCTTACTTTTACTATCAGACTTCCTCAGACAAGCATCCAGGCCAGTTGCCTCACCAACCCCTCCCTCCTTAATCCTAAAATCTGATCTGTGCCCTCACCACATTCTAAGACTGTCCTTGGGGAGATTAGCTCCCTGTTGCTGGCGCCTCATCTTCATCAGACTCTGCAGCATTCCACTCTCGGGCCATGCTTTCCTTGGACCGCACTCTCCCACGGTGTCTGCGGTACTGCAGTCTTCAGGTTCTTCCTCCGAGATGTTCTTGGTCTCCATCCTCCTTCTCTTCCACCCAGCATTGAAATGCAGGCAATTCTCAGGTCCTTGACTCTCTTCTTTCTTACTTTCCACCTGGATGATATCTTCTTTCACAGGTGTATTCTGGTATCCAGTCTGAGCTGTGTGAGCATGATTCTCAGATCTCTGTTCTGAGCGTTACACTTTTACACCCAATGCCTGTTGCCCACGTGTGCCTGATTTACATCCCAGAGTCTCCACAGAAAAGCCCCCAGCAAGCCACCTCCTTCACCTGACCTTCCCATTCTTGTGAGTGGCACAAACACTTTCTTGTGTCCTGGCCTTCAAACCTGGCAGTCATTTTTGATCCCTGCCTCTCACTTAACCCCATGCTCAATCATTTTCTTAGCATTCTTCCGTGGTCCAGGCCTGCCATTATCTCTCTTTTTTTCCCCTCTCTGTTCGCTCCTCTTTACAGACCAGCTTTCATTTCTGACACCTAATCAATTGTCCTGAAGCATATTCTGACTTTTCAAAGAACTTTAATGGCTTCCCATTTTAGACTAAAAGAGGTCCAGACTTCTCAGTCTGCTATATCAAGCCTCTCCCTATCTTGCTCCAGTTTGTCCTTCAGCTCACCTCCTGTATGACCCTCTATGCACCCTCTGGACCCTATATGGCTACCTGGAGCCAGGCTTTATATTGTTCTACCAGTGCACCTACCTCTGTTCTCTCTGTTCATTCCTTTCTATTCAATTCTTTTTTTTTTTTTTTTTTTTTTTTTTTTTTTTGTTAGAACAACTCAGCAAAATAAAATTCCTGTTTATTGTGGACAACATTGTTTCACACATACATCGAACAGGCCAAAAAAAATAAACAGCAATTTCATAGACAAAAAAAGGGAAAAAAAGAAACCTTTTATCTTTGGCCTTTTTAACCATCTCATACAAACCAACTACTTATAGTACAGCTAAGTACATACACAAAAAGTTACTGGAATGCTCGGAATAAGATTGTTTTTTTTGTTGTTGTTTTTGCTTTTTTTACAAGGTTTTTTTTCTCCTTTGAGATTATAATGAACATGGTCACACCACAAGTAAAGTCAGAAGTAGGACAGAGAATGCTCCAAAGGCTGGTTTGGTCATCCCAAGATCATTAAAAATGGCTGACCCCTAACAATATGTACAAAAATATAAAATGTAAATAAAAAATACAAACAAATTTTCCTTTTTAAAGTACTTTTAAGAAAAAAAGCAGAGCAGGGCCTTGGAAGTTTTGGTTCTTTTTTCCTCCCCTGTTGCAAATTCACGTTGTGGTTTTGGTTGGGTGGTGGAGAGTGCGTGTCATCTGCAGGTGGCGCTGCCTGAGGTGGGTGGGTAGGCAGGTGGGCGGGAGTCTCTACTCGAAGGTGACCACGTTTAGATTCTGAGACGGGAAGTGGAGGGTGAATAGGTCACGGAGGCCTTTAACTTTTCCTTTTTTTGCTGTCTAGTCATCCTCATCGGTCTTCTGCTTCTTGGTGTCAACATCATCATCCTCATCATCTTCAGCTGCCCGTTTGCCTGTAGCTGCCTCAGCCTCCTCATCTTCATCTCCATCCTCTTCCTCACAGCGTTCCCATTCGCAGGTGCATCTCTTCCATTCTCTGTCTCCTCCACAACTTCCTTCTTCTCCTTTAAGTCCTTGGTGGTGATCTCGGAGCTGGTGTCCACGGCCGTGTCTGACATGGTGGGGCACGCCGGTGATCCTCTGCAGCGGATTTCTTTTAAAAAAGCGAGAGTTGGAGGACTCTGGCGAAGAAGCTGCCGGAGTCCGCGGCGGTGGAGGAGGCGCGCGGCGGAGGTGGTTGCAGCGAGCGGAGAGGGAGCCACAGGAACAATGCAAAGATGGCTTTTCAGAGCAGCCAGTCTCTATTCAATTCTTACCTATTTTTCCAAGATACATTGTCATATCCCTTTTATCCATGAAGACCTTAATTCTCTTTAACTCTTGAACCTTTATAGCAAGTTTTAAAAGTACTACTCAAAGTGCAAGACAAAATAATGAGCGTGTGTCTGAATGTAAATCAATCCACTTATTTCTTCAATAAGAAAGTCTTGCTACCAATAAACATATAATCAGCTAAACTAAACAAGGTACTTGGTGATGAATTGGCCTATATCTGGCACAAGCTCCTTGTGATACTGTGAGTGCTAACAGTTCGCAGATGGGGTCCTCAGACCACTCTTTGGTTAGTTACTCTCTGCGGCTCTTCGCGTTTGCCTAGTGTTGTGGTTGACTGTGTGCTGGCAGGTCAGCTTCTCAAGGGCAAGGACTGAGTCTTCCCTCTTCCTGTTTCCAGTGCATGCAATGAGGTTATCAAGCTGACTTCCAAGGCCACTCTTCAGAACTCAGATATTTTTCCTTCTTTTTATTTTTATTTTTCAATTACCATTTATATTCAATATTATTGTATATTAGTTTCAGATGTACAGATTAATGCTTAGACAATCACATACTTTACAAAGTGATCCCCCTGATATTCCCAGTACCCACCTGGCACCATACATAGTCACTACAATATTATTGACTATATTCCTTATGCTGTACTATACATCCCCATGACTGTTTTGTAATTATCAATTTGTACTTCTCAATCTCTTCACTTTTTTCACCCAGTTCCCCAACCCCCATCCCCTCTAGCAACCATCACAGAACTCAGATTTTTATGAGAAAAATGTGCTTCCTTCTTCATCTTTGAGTGGTGGCAGCAACAACAAGGCCCAGAATAATTCACCAGATAGTGTGTCAGGACCTTCCTGCCCCGGGGGCTGGGGCCCCACTTTCCCTCTATGTTTGATGGTCTCCTCGGTGCCCCGTGGATCAACCCAGGGATTGAAAGGAAGGGCCTCGTGGAGTGGGGGCATGATGGGCATAATAACGATAAGTGGGACATGCCAGTGGTGATGCTCACAGCAGCAAGTAACTGAGCCTCCACCCCAGATATTAAAGGATTCCTTAAAGGAGTCCTCAGAACATGAGGTCTGAGGACAGAAACAAGTTCAGTACTGGATCAGCCACTCAGGGATGTCATCAAGGACATAGGTTTCTTCATCCCTTTGCTCTGTTATCTCAGCATGTCAGTGATGCTCCCACTTATGGCCACACAGTGGCTGAAGTCATGCTAAGTATCACTTCCTCACATGGCAATGACCAAAGCAGGGAGGAAGAGGTGGATGGAAAGGGACTCTCCTCAGAAGGGTCTCTGTTTGTCAGGAAGGAAACCTTTCCCAGAAATCCCCAGCATACTTTCCTCACATCTCATTGGCCAGAATTTTCAGATGTGGCTCTGCAGGGGAGCTGCAAGGGAGTCTGGGAAAGTGACCATATGCATTTTCAGCATCTGCATGAGAAAATAGGCAGAATAAATGGGTTGGGGACGCAACCAACAAAGAGTCCTGAAGGGATAAGAGATGGGAACAGATAGGTACTAAGGAAAGAGGAAGATAAGGCAAAATCAGAGGGAAGAGTTCATAAGGAAGATCCAGACATGACAAGAAATATTGCTGAGAATGAGAATGCCAGGGACATGCTGAGGTCGTCATTAAGGTTCATTCCATATTTATTGTGGTGTCAGGCCTTTTCCCACAGTTATCTCACCTAATTCTCACATCAGCCTTTGGGCTGGTGTTACCGACTCCAAGTTACTGGTGAGTAAAGTGGACAAGGGGAATTCTAGTCAAGTAGCTTCCAAATGTTGGCCCAGAGTTCAGGGCCAGGTTGGAGGTATCAGATTTACCTACTTGTGCACCCAATCAGCTAATCTGGGGGTCACCCAGTATCACAGAGAGAATAAATGGCAGGCCTGGGGTTTGAATCCGAATCTTCTGTCTCCAACAATAACAACAACTAATATTTGCTCTTCCTTAACAACTTCCTTACCTGCATTATCCTATTTAATCCTCCTAACAAACCTATGGGAATGGTATACATTTTATGATTTCTGACATTTAGAGATTACAAGTAACTTGCCAATGTCACTCAACGTGACAGAGTCAGGATTTGAACACAGGCCTTCTGACTCCAGAGCCCAGTCTTTTAACCAGTACATGGTAATGTCTCTCTAGGTTCCAGGCTCCAAACATTTAACCCAGCACTTTTTCTGTTCTATGTTCTCTGCAACTTTCGTTACAGCAAATCTTAACTCACAGCCAGCTAAAGAATAATTCTGATGGGCATAAAACTGTCTCCCTGTGACTGGTGGAGACAATTCCAGGTCTGAATCCTGGGAGAAAGCCTAAGGCCTCATGGGAAAGGTGCTCCCATCTGTGCCTGGCGGGTGGGTTAACTTGGCTGGGGAGGAGGAAGCCTCAGGGGGAAAGAAGTCAGTGGTTGGCGTGGCGCTTCCCTGCTCTACTTCCTGTGTGAGCCCATACAGAGAAGGACAGCATGGAAATACTCTTCTATGTCGTGGGGCTTTGTTCCCATGATGGTAATCCTCCGTTTTAATGCTGATAGGTACAATAGGGAGGATTATGCCCCTTAATTTAATTTGGCCTGCATATGGCAGAGCTCTCGCAAGGCTTTTATTTGGCATACTTTAGCTCAGCTAGCCTGTTGTCCTGTAAAAAGAAGCCCCTTTGAGGGAGACAGGAGATTGATAATGCTGGTGCAGATGTTTTCACCCAGCAGCCTCTCTCTGTCTCTCTCTCTCTGTCTCTCTCTCTCTCTCTCTCTCTGTCTCTCTCTCTCTGTCTCTCTCTCTCTCTCTCTCTCTGTCTCTCTCTCTCTCTCTCTCTCACACACACACACACACACACACACACACACACACACACACACACACAGAAGCTGCTTCGTTGTGGGCCACTACAATGAGAATTCAGACTCAGAGCGATGGGGACCTTCGTGACTCAGGCAGCATGAGGGGAGCTGGCACCTCACAAGAGGGGAAAACGAGCACATATTTCTCCTGTGTGTCATCCTTGCAGCTCTGGGGCTTGGAGCCAATTGGGCTGACCTCAGAATTGATGAGCCAGAGGAACAGCCTCCCCATCGGGGCCGACTGTGGGCCAGATTTTCATGTGGGCTGTGAAGTACAGATTGCCACAAATCTTGACAAATACTCTGCCTGGGGGGTCATTGCAGAAATATGTGGCAGTGCTGAGAAGATTAAACAAAACTTTTCTTTCATATCATATCAGGAGGATGTTTCCTCTCCCAGCCTTCCATTCCCAGGCTAAATTTTCCTCCCACTTTCACTCCCCCAGGAAGCTAGAGCCCTCCAACAAATGTCCTACCCTGTGGCCAAGTTTGTGCCCTAAAGCATCACCGAGGACCTGCATGGAGCCGGAGGGAAGAAGGCAGTAGGTGTGGGAGCCTCGGTAGGGATGGTGGCCTTTTTTATAAAGTGCTGATCTATGTGTTATCTCCTTCAGGTGGAAAGCAGATGGGCTTTGGTGACAGACCTGGGTTTAACTCTTGTTCAACTACTTACAAACTAGGAGCCTTTGGCAAGTTCTTTTACCTTTCTGAACTTTAGTATCCTATGCTGCAAAAGGGAAATAATTGTGAGGCTTTGAGATCATCTATGCAAAGGAACTAGCACAGTTCTAGATACATAATAAATGCTCAATAATGGATGATGGTGAGTTGTTGTTGGTTGTAGTCATAGAAGTAGTAGCGATAATAGTAGAATTTCTAATCGTTAATGGTTTCTGTAAAGCTAACCTGTTCTGAAGAGTCAAGACCCCTCTGACTTGGCTCTGGAGTTGTAGACTGAAATAGACATTGAAGAATCCAGCACTGTAGACATTTTAAACAATGCTCCCTATCTACTTTTAACTTGAGAGCCAATTTTTATTTTCCCATGTTCCTGGCTCTTATCTCAGGGAGAAATCTGAGGTTGACTTTGAGCCCAAGACTCACCCTTGCCAATATGGCCAGGAATCCACTGGCACACCCTCAAATGACAACTTTCAGAGCTTACTTGATTGTTAGGGCCTTCTCAGAGTTTCTAGACTTTAAAAATATTAATTGGTCACATTTACTTTCAAAACCTTTTTGAAGCCGGAAATTTTATCACCAGCTGAAAGGAGCTTCAAGGAAAAATCTGTTTTGAGTTATATTTTTCCTTGTGGATTTGCTTATGGCTGTACATAAATATTTATCTGAACTATTTCAACAAACCTTAAATCATCAGTGATCCTTATGCAAAGGACCCTTTTAGAAGGATTGTGGATGTCAAGAATGTCAGCAATCAGTGTTCTCTTTATAGGACCAGATTCCAAGGACTGAGGCCTCTTAAAAAATATCTGGAACTGTTTGGTGGTTTTCAGCATGTCTTTTGTTTCCCTATTTCTGTATATCTGTTCATGCTGTTCCTTCTGAATGGAATACTCTTGCCAGTTCTTTCTTTACCTGTTGATAGTTTACACATCCATCAAGGTCTCACCCATATGGTACCTCCTACAGCAGTGATGGCAAACCTTTTGAGCTCGGCGTGTCAGCATTTTGAAAAACCCTAACTTAACTCTGGTGCCGTGTCACATATAGAAATTTTTTGATATTTGCAACCATAGTAAAACAAAGATTTATATTTTTGATATTTATTTTATATATTTAAATGCCATTTAACAAAGAAAAATCAACCAAAAAAATGAGTGTCATAGGTTCGCCATCACTGTCCTACAGGGCCTTGAAGCAGGCTAGAGCCAGGAGAAGAGCATCCCAGGTGGGAGAAATAGCCTGGGACACAGCCCAAAGGCAGGATATGCTGGGGGTCTTTGGGGGTCTCTGGAGAGGATGGGGTGTCCAGTGGGATGAAGCCCGAGGGTCAGGTGTGGCAGTGGTGTGAGGCAGGGAATAAGGCAGTTGAGAGCCAGGATATGAGAGGCCTTAAAAGCAGCACAAAATATTTTGGACCATAT